TCATTTATCAGACAAAAAATAAGAAAATTTTCGTGTGCCACCTAGTTTTGCGCAACCCATTGAATTTGTACCTAACTTTTTAAAAAATATTTAACTGATATCTAATTTTTGGATAACTTCATACATACACTTTTTTCTTCTTCTTTACTATTATTTTCTTCTTTTTTGTGCTTAGAGTTTCTTCCTCTTCTTCTTAATTGCAAAATAACTTTGTTAAATTTGTTGTTGTTTTGACAATTTGATGATTGAGATTTGTTCTTTTTAATATCTGAAAGTTATGTTTCAAAGTTAAGCTCATTTAAAATAGATTTGGGCATTGAATTGTGTATCGAATTGTTAAAATTCGAAAAACAAGTTTATGTTTGAGAACTTAAGATTTAAAATCGGAAGTTGCATTCAATAGATTGAACTACTTAAGATTCGAATTTCTAAAGTTGCATTTGAAAGATAGAAGAACTTGAGATTTGATTTCTGAAGTTGCATTGAAGAAATTGAATTACTTCATATTCGAATTTCTGAAGTTGCATTTGAAAGATAGAAGAACTTCAGATTTGATTTCTGAAGTTACATTGAAGAAATTGAACTACTTCAGATTCGAGCGGGTATACTTTTGTAATTTTTTGTACAATGCGGGTATAACTTCAATGGTGGCCCCAAAAATGGATATATATGAAAATATCCCAAAAAATAACTAGTTGCTTTACCAAAAATGGGCTATTAATGTAATGATCCCTTACAAGAAGTGTACCATCCCAGAAGAAAAGCCTACAATTGTTGGGCCATGGGCCACACTCATTTACAACGTTAAACCAATCATGGGCTAAAATACTTTGGGTCAGCCTCTAGGGCAAAGCTCTTTTGTCCTCCGTTGTCACGTAACCTTTTCTTCTTGAGGTAAGGTACTTTCCGTTAACATTGTAGGTAACTACTAAAAAAATATTTATATCAATATTACTATCTTTCAATTATTTCAATAATAGCATATTTTATAACAAATGTAGCATATTCAAACAAAATACTATCTCTCTTTAATATTACGTAACTGAGAACTCATTTATCTATCTTCCACAAAATTAGGGATTGCATTTATTATCTTGTTCCTCTTCACATAGCAACAAAAAAAATTGTCTATTTCCATTTCTTTTCCTTTTATATTATATTATTTTTTCTCCTTTTTTTTCTCCTTTCTGTTTTCTCTTATTTGGAGGAAGGGGAATTAGATCAGGCTGCTTCAGTGATTTGAATCAAAGTGTTATCGATCAAGTGATGACATACTTATGATTAATGTTGTTTCTATCGTTTTATTTTTGTTATAAATAAAGATAAAATTTCCATATTTATGGTANAATTAACTTATATAAAACACATCTAAAAGCAAATTCCATTATTATACTAGCATAATACCATATAATAATATTATTATTATTATTATTATTATTATTATAATAATAATTATTATTATTATACCAAAAGTATACCATACATATAATTTGCAAATGCTGCACATAACACATTCAACAAAATACCGTTATTATACTAGCATTATACAATATATAAAATCTTCATATCATTTTCATAAACACATCAGAAGTGTCTAGAATACATTATTATATAACTATTAAACATTGTATATTTGTTATTAAAAAATACACATCATATCAAACTATGCATTAAATATGTTGAATTATCACCTTTTAACTATTTAAGAAGGAAATAGTCGTTTTTATGTGTTTTGATTATAGATAGACATTCTATCTGATATAATAGAAAAGGAAGAGAGTTATGGAAGCTAAATTTTAGGAAGAAAGATTTAGGGAAAAAGTTATGGGAGCTAGTTTTTAGGAAGAAAGTTATGGGCCGGGCGAAAAGTAGGAAAGAGTTGTGTGCGGAATGCAAATATGTAGCTGCTACATTTATTATTTAAGTCATACTTCTAGAATTTTGTAAATTTTGTTAAAATATTACACAATTATGCTGTTTCCTCTTTCTTCTTTACTTTTTTGGGGGTTTCACTTTTAGCCAGCGCCAAAAGTCAAATATATATATATATATATATATATATATTATTTAAGTCATACTTCTAGTACAAAAGTCAAACAAATATATATAAATATTTTTTGTTTATAAAAAAATATATTAGAAGTATGACTTAAATAATATATATATATATATATATATATTTGTTTGACTTTTGGCGCTGGCTAAAAGTGAAAACCCCCAAAAAAGTAAAGAAGAAAGAGGAAACATCATAATTGTGTAATATTTTAACAAAATTTACAAAATTCTAGAAGTATGACTTAAATAATAAATGTAGCAGCTACATATTTGCATTCCGCACACAACTCTTTCCTACTTTTCGCCCGGCCCATAACTTTCTTCCTAAAAACTAGCTCCCATAACTTTTTCCCTAAATCTTTCTTCCTAAAATTTAGCTTCCATAACTCTCTTCCTTTTCNATATATATATATATATATATATATATATATATATATATATATATATATATTATTTCGGCTATTATTTTGAGAGTGACTATACTGTGTCATTTTCTTCCTTTTTAATTGTAAAATTACTGCTAAAATACAAACTAATTTGAGAAATATATATTTTTAGTCACTCCCTAAAACAATAGCCATATATGTGTGTGCGCACGCGTATTATATACAAATAATATACGTATTTATACACTTTTTTATTATAGGCTCGAACTTAAGGTTTTACTTTAATTTATGTATTGAATTCTTCTGAATCGGAGACTCGCTGTTGTATTATATAACATATCAAATATATGATTTAGCTTCTATCAAATGTTTAGGAGAATTTTCGATAGAAAGTTGAAAAAATGTAAACTAATTACTTGGGAATATTTGATAAAGACAAAAGAAATTACTCGCTCATTGGACTTGTCTATTTTTTAAATTTCTGATACCTTATTTTTAATTCCCTTACTTTCTTTTCCACCTTGTCTGTTCTTCTTTTTTATTGATAAAACTAGTCCACCCTTTGGTGGGTATACTTTAAAATAGCATGGAGGGAATATTACAGCACTTTAAGTTTAATAAACCTCACTTATACCTTTTAAATCGTTGGTATAGGTTCTCACACTCATATATGCATAATATGTACGATACTAATTAATTGCTCCCTCCGTTTAAAATGAATAATGTATTGGCCAAAATCTGCCCTAAGGGTATTTTGCCTAATATGACATTAAGGAAAGAGTCAGTCGAGGTTGACCAGAAGGCAGCAAAATTCGTGGCCGAGGTGTCAACCATGACCAAGGTCAAGCACTGCGTAAAAGACAATAATGGCTAGTTTTCAGAGTAGGATATTAGAGAGAATATTCTAGTGAATATTCTCTACATTTGTACTATTAGAGTTTACTAGGGATATGTGTTGAATATATAAGGAAAAAAGAAAAGGCAAAAAGACATGTAATATTCATTTGCTAAGAACACTTTTCAGAAGAAAATCCCTCACTCTTGATAAAAATACAAAGACTGTCTTTTGATAAAGATTCTTGTTCATATTATTCCACATATTTTTACGAGATCCGAGGATTGTTCAAATAAATCTTGGATATTTCTGTCACTCATCATTGTCAGGAGAAATATTCGTCCAGTCCATCTATTATTGGGTGAATCATTCTCCTTATTTACTCAAATGTCATTTATTGCTAGTTACACCCCCATTATTGCTCATACTTTGAGAATATTTCGCACTTATTGTCATCAATCATTCACGGGGCCTGTCCCCTCCTCTCGCATGTTTTTAAGATCTGCATCTAGAGTTATTGTCCTTAACTAAAGTTAACCCATCATTATATAAATTTAATAATTTAATCGAAAGTTACACTTTTCGGTCAAACAATTTGGCGCCGTCTGTGGGGATTTTCTAGCTAAGTCTTTTAGTTAATTCCTTCTAGATCTACAATCGACACTGGTTACTAACTAAAAAAAAAACAAAAACCTTTTCCTCTTTGTATGCATAGATCTGATATGACAGGTAACAGAGAAGAAAGAACGAGAATAATGAGCGACTTCCCAACCAACCTCATGAACATCATCCACGAAAGCTATGAAGCAGTGGACGAGGACACAATGCCCAATACCTCTCCTAGGCGAGGTGGATCACCCCTCCCCACTGCAGCATCACAAAATCTCTTGGTAAGATAGTCTCCACATCCATGGGAGAGGAGGCACCACTCGCGATAAAGAATCTCCTCGAGGCCTGGCTAACTGATACACTGACCAGCGTCCTCCACAAGCCCGTTCAGGACGCGACCGTAGTAAACGAGAGAACTTGTGCTACACCACCAGTGGACGCGCAACATGGTCAACCTCCTACGACGACAAGTATTACTCACAATGTTGTTAACAATGCAGGCGACGACGCTCTCACAACCATTCTGAAAAGGATGGAGGAAATGAAAAACGAGAACAAGGCACTTCAGGACCAAATGAGAGAACACCAAGAAATGATTGATAAAATACCGGGCGCTCCTAAGCTATTGCCGAAGAGAGACGCCGGTCGGTTCGTCGAACAGCTGTACAGTGATAGCGCTGCCCCGCATACCATACCAAAGACCCTTAAAATGCCGCCCTATCTGAAAATATACGATGGCACAACTGACCCCGAGGATCATATGACCCATTACATCACCGCCGTGAAAGGAAATGACCTCGCCATGACAGGCAATGACCTCGCCATGTGACCCTACCGCTGCATCCTTATCTCGCTATGAAGAAGGCCCACCCCGATCAAGAACAGTAACTCACCGAAATGAGAGAGGTATGCCCCTTTTACTATCCACTCACAATTTTTGCGTGTCACCTACAGAGATCGTCTACGCCTTGGAGAAGCTCGGACCAAAGGTAAAGTGGCCACAAAAGATGAGGTCGGACCCGAATACCAGAAAATTAGACGCCCTCTGTGAGTTCCATCAAGAGCGAGGACACAAAATTGAAGATTGCATCGCCCTAAGATAGGAGGTCATAACCATGCTGCGACAGGGACACCTCAAAGAATTGCTGAGCGATCGGGGAAGGACTAACTTTTCTAGGGGACGCGAACAACATCAAGGGTTGCCGAAACCGCCCTCGCCAGCCCGTACCATCCACATGATCATCGGTGGCGGGGACGACGCTTCCATCAACAACGTGAAGTTCACCATAACCCACAAGCTCAAACGGTCGATCACCCATAAACGGTATGCTGAACTCGAAGAAAGTATCTTCTTCGATAAGTCAGATACCAACGGTTTGGCTTTCCTCGACTATGATGCCCTCGTTATTACTTTACAAATTTTAGATATCGACGTAAGACGGATTATGGTAGATGATGGCAGCGGCGCGTGTATTATCCATCCTCGAGTACTCGCACAAATGGAACTCGAGGATAAAATTGTGCCCCGCTTCATCACACTAACAGGTTTTAACAATGTAGTTGAGCGAACGTTTGGCGAGATCACACTCCCCGTCCTAGCGGGTGGCGTCACTCTGGAGACCACGTTCCACATCATGGACCAGGACACAACATACAACGCCATCATAGGGCGACCATAGATACACACCATGAGAGCTATCCCTTCCAGCTTGTACCAAATCATCAAGTTCCCAACTCCATGGGGGATATTCAGCATACGCGGGGAGCAACACACATCCCAAGAGTGCTACCGCATCACCCTAGACTGCACGGCTACTCAACAAATGAGGGATAAAGAGAAAGAGGCATAGAAATCAACAAGGTCGAGGTCAATAAGCGATGACATCGAAGACGTCATCAGAGACCCCGACACGGTCGAGGCAGCATGATCGACCATAGAGGACCTCGACCCCGTTTAACTAGACGGGAACGACCACAGCAAGAAAGCTTACATCGGCTGCAAACTTTAGGAACCGGGTAAGTTTTGTGAATTTTTAACTGCTAACGCGGACATGTTTGCTTTTAGCCATGCAGATATACCAGGTATCCCAAAGGAGATCGCCACGCACAAATTGAATGTCGATCCACTCTACCCCCCGGTGAGGCAGGTTCGACATAAGTTCAACTCCACAATCAATGACGCAGTGCGCAAAGAAGTGGAAAAATTATTGGAAAATGGATTTGTCAGAGAGTCGAAGTACCCTCAATGGGTCGCCAACGTAGTCTTGGTGAAAAAGACGAACGACAAGTGGAAGATGTGCATATATTTCACTGACCTGAACAAAGCTTTCCCCAAGGATTCATTTCCATTACCTCATATCGACAAACTCATCGACGCGATAGCCGGCATGAGTTTCTAAGTTTCTTGGATGCCTACTCGGGCTATAACCAGATCCTTATGGAGAAAGAGGACCAGGAAAAGACCACCTTCATCACCCATCAGGGGACGTACTGCTACAGGGTCATGCCTTTCGGATTGAAAAATACGGGGGCAACTTACCAAAGGTTGGTGATAAAGATGTTCAAAGAGCAACTCGTAAAAACGATGGAAGTATACATCGATGACATGCTAGTCAAATCCAAAAGGAAAGAAGATCATATCGACCACTTAAGAGTAGCCTTCGGCATACTCTGGCAATACGACATGAAACTGAACCCTGAAAAATGTGCATTCGGCATAGACTCAAGGAAATTCTTGGGTTTCCTAGTGTCTCAGCGAGGTATCGAGGACAATCCCGACCAAATCAAGGCCATCAAAGGGGTACCAGAGCACTTGACCACCAAGAAGAAGGTCCAAAGGTTGACTGGCCGTATCGCCGCCCTTTCGAGGTTCATCTCACGGTCCTCTGATAGGTTCCATAAGTTCTTCGGCGTACTCAAAAAGGAGAATCGCCTCCAATGCACCCCTGAGTGCATCCAAGACCTGAAGGAGTTAAGGTGTACTTGTCTTCGCCACCGTTGCTTTCAAAACCATCCCCTCCTCGTCTACCTCGCCGTGTCCGAAGTAACTGTGAGCGCAGTCCTGGTCCAAGAAAATAAAGGTACGCAGTCTCCCATCTATTACATTAGCAAAACACTAGTCGATGTCGAGACAAGATACCCCCATCTTGAAAAACTGGCCCTGGCCTTAGTCGTAGCTTCATGAAAGCTTAGGCCATATTTTCAGTGCTACCCTATCTCGGTCGTCACGACTTTCCCCTTATGAAGCATTTTACACAAACCCAAACTATCAGGGAGATTAGCCAAATGGGCCATCGAACTAAGCGAGCATGATATTACATATCAGCCACGAACGGCGATAAAGTCACAGGTCCTCGCCGACTTCAGCGTGCAAATAATGCCCGAAGTTGAAAAAGAAGTCGTCCACGCTTCTTCCCAAACACGAGACCTCTAGATCCTGTACACTGATGGCACGTCTAACACGTCAAGGTCTGGGCTGGGACTCGTCTTGGCTGTTCATCAAATGGAGAATGGACATCGTGGGCCCCCTCCCGGCAGGACGAGGTAACGTACGATTTCTCTTGGTTTTAACTGACTATTTCTCTAAATAGGTGGAAGCGGGAGCATTCGCCCAAATACGCTAACATGAAATGATCGCCTTTATATGGAAAAATATCATATGCTATTTCGGTCTCCCCAAAGAAATCAGCTGCGACAACGGACCTTACTTTGCAAGAAAGAAGGTCGCCGACGTTTTTGAAAAATGGCACATCAAAAGAATACTCTGAACGCCTTACCACCCCGCGGGCAACGAGCAAGTGGAATCCTACAATAAGTCAATACTGAACATCATAAAGAAGAAACTCAAAGACGCCAAGGGACTATGGCCGAAAATATTACGAGAAGTACTCTGGGCCTACCGAACAACGCCAAAGACGAGTACTTGGGAAACGCTATACTCGTTAGTCTACGGGACTGATGTAGTAATACCGGTCGAGGTTGGGGAACCCAGCTTAAGGTACTCCCGTGAAGGCGGACCCCAGAACGACGACAGTAGAATGCAGGAACTCAACGAGGTCGAAGAGCGAAGAGATATGGCCTACGTGAGAATGGTTGCCCAAAAGCAACAAGCAGAACGCTATTATAACAAAAAGGAAAAAATCAGGCCACTTAAAGTCAGGGACTACGTGCTTAAAGCTAAAACACAAGCAAGGAAAGACCCGCGGGAAGCAAAATATGAACAAACTGGGACGCCCCCTACAAAATCACGGCGACGGCGAACAAATGATCATTCACACTAGAAATAATGGAAGGGAAGCGACTACCAAACAACTAAAATATTACACACCTAAAGTACTTTAACTTTTAAGAAAAAGCGTCCTCCAGGTGGTACTCTTTTTCCCTCACTCGAGTTTTGTCCCAATTGGGTTTTCTCAAGGAGGTTTTTAATGAGGCAACGATGGGGACACTTCAAGTTGAAATACAAACAGACAGACACAGGATGGCTAGTTCATCGCTCAACCTCTCAATACACTTCTCCAGGTCGACCAATGAAGGGACTAGATGAACTGGGACTGGAATGCCAGCCGACACTAGACAGATTGGGACTGGAATGCCAGCCCAAAAAATATGTAAATTTCTCTAGTGTATGAACAAAACACAAGTATATGAAGTTTACCCATACGACCCACGCCCATAGTTAAATAAAGGTTAAATTTGATCTCGCTCGAATCAACACCTATGCAGCCCACGACCATAATTAAATAAAGGTTAAATTCGACCTCGTTCGAATCAACACCTATACGGCCCACGACCATAATTAAATAAAGGTTAAATTCGACCTCGTTCGAATCAACACCTATACGGCCCACGACCATAATTAAATAAAGGTTAAATTTGACCTCGTTCGGATCAACACCTATACGGCCCACAACTATAATTAAATAAAGGATAAATTCGACCTTGTTCGAATCAATACCTATACGGCCCACGACCATAATTAAATAAAGGTTAAATTCGACCTCGTTCGAATCAACACCTATACGGCCCATGGCCATAACTAAATAAAGGTTACATTCAACCTCGTTCGATTCAACACCTCGTCGGCCCTCGGCCATAACCAAATATAGGCTATACTCGACCTCGTACGACCCGCTTGAGCAAAGTTATTATGACTAAGGCAACAAAATCAAAAATAAGAAGAAGCACACAAACTCAAACAGAAGAAAAAGAATTAGGTACGAGTAACAAAACTAGCATTTCATACTTAGAATATTATTTTTACAAAGGCTCGAAGAGACGCCCACAAAAATATATGAAAATACAACTAATCGCTGCCTGATCCAATAATGACGTCAGCTTGATCGCCTAGGCCATCTCCATCTGCCTCTCCGCCATCACCATTAGGATACTCATCCTCATACCAGACGTCCTGTTATCACTGGCCTCCGGTGTAGCAGGATTATAGACACAAGCAAACCGAGCTCTACGCGCCTTAGCACGAGCATCCTCGAAGTCAGCCTTCGAAACAGTCCCCGCCCCAATTAGATCTCTAAATATATCTAGTTGGGTCTCAGCATGAATCCATTCCTCGTACAAATCCCACAAAACATCAGGAAAAGCAGTACGAGAAGAAGACGGCTGAGCCAATAACTGTGCCTTCTCGTCCTCGAGAACATCAACTCGATCATAAAGGCCTGAAGCCTTTTTTCCAGCTTCCCTATCCATTCGTCAAGGCGCTCCTCCCTAAGCCTGGCCGTCTCCAGAGAACTCTCCCGCTCAGAATGAAGAACACGGATCACAATCTCCAAAGCCTCCGCTTTCCTTGCAGCCCGCAATCGGGCCAACTCCACCCTCTCCCAATTAGATGCCTTCACAACAACCTCGCCACTCAAAGAGTCCGCTTTGAGTTGACACTTCTCGAGCTTGGCGCATAACGAAACCACCTGGGCTTGAAGATCAGCGCATTGGGCCTTGACCCCCTTGCTCATCTCAAGTTCTTCTTCTTTGTCCCTCAACGCCGCCTCGTGAACGCTGTATTTTTTGATGAACCTCACCAACTTGTCATCCTTTTCCTTCAGTTCGCCTCGAAAAGCTTGGAAATTGTCACTCCCACTGAACCGCCTGCAGATCTCGTGGTGTTTATCACAGTATTCGCGATATTTCCGCTCCATCTTCTAGAAAATAGCCTTACGCCTCTCCTCTAGACGGGCGCTCTCGATCTCCAAAATCACGGTCTGAAAGAAAGAAAAAATGAGGAGTAAGAACAAAACTTTGAACTCTGACATAAAAAAAAATGGAGATCGAAAAACTTACCCTAAGAGCGAGGCCGGCTATGCTCCTCGATAAAATGGCGTCCTTAAGCTTCTCAAGGGTTTTACCGTCCACATCGGAACAGAGGGGACCAAGAGAAGGGACCACGTCCTCCGTGTCAACTAGCAAATCTCGATCCAAGGGGATCGCAATAGTCCGTGTGGTCCCCTCCAACCTCTCCTCAAGTCGGGTAAGTCCTTCCCCCATCATCCTCACTTCCTCGGCATCTATATCGGAGCCCGTCTTGTAACCTTCTTCGGCTATGCTTTTTCCTTTTGTGTCGACCCTAGAATATGGATCCTTGGCTGGTCGCGAGGCCGATGACTCATCCTACCATAAGTCGTCAGGGACTCTCACCGACGGCCCTTTAAAATCTATTATGGTCTTA